AGGTTATTTATATTAATTTGTAACAAGTTTATTATTAACATTTAAATAAATTGATAAATAAATATACTTTTTCTCAGTTTTAATTTCTAGTATAATAAATATTTGCACATATTAGCCACATAAACAAAGCTCTTCAGTTGGGAGTCTTTGGTAATTTTAGAAGATAAATTGGTTTTAGAACAAAATGCTTGAGGATCTCTGCCCTAAATGAAGTAAGTTTGATCTGAGAATAATAAAACAATATTTTGATTGACAGTGAAAGTACTTTTCCTAAAATAAGTTTTAGGAAACTCAAAGACAGAACTAGGGAGAAGACAAAGAATCCCCTTCCTGTGGCTCTGATTGGCACATTTTTCTCATTTCTAAGGGACATTAATTTCAGTAGCTATCAGTATGAAACAGATTCTATCAGATACTACAAAACATCAGTACAGTCAAGCAAAGTTACACATAACTATTTGACTCCTTAAATCAAGAGCTTTTACTTGACGTCTGAACTGTTATCACCAGTTAACATAACAATGACAACAACCAAATTCCAAACAGAAAAAGTAATGAAAGAATAACCTCTAATTCAAGTATGATAAGTTTTTCTTCTACTCAGTGGAATAAAACATGAAGAATCAACATGTAAAGTATGTTATTTTGCTCCAAATTGTGTATATGTTCAGTGTAGTGTTGTATATGTATTGTACATGAAAATTAATTATTTTTAAATTACACACCACACACACCCACATACACACTTATGCTGCTGTTTAAGAATCAAAGTTGATATCAACATTATCTAACTAAAGAATTAATAGGAGTTTCAAAACACCTATGCTACTTGGTTTTCAGTCTCTGGGTTACTAAATGATACTGAAGCAATTATGCAAGAAATCCTGCTACATAAAAGCTATAATACCGCTTTATCTCATTATCATTTAAATGTTAAATCCTCCATTATAGAGGTAAATTGGGTTTAAAATACAATGTTTCAAGCAGAAGAGCAAAAAATATAAGGTTAATCAGAGAGAGGAACCAGAGCTTGAATTTGTGGTATATGGGGCATGGACTGATCTTTTGATATACTAAAAAAGCCAGAACCTCTGACATGCCCTATAGAGTAAATATACTGATCTGGAAAAAAAATTATGTGAAACAGCTGTTAAGTGACAGAAGAAATGTGCATTGGACCACCAGCTTGTCATAAATTGCACTTTTAATCAGAAAGCATCTGTCTTTTCATTTCCTTTTCAGCACTCTCTGCATTGTATTTACTCTGCACAGAATGCCTCTCCTAACAGGTGCAACAATGTTTACATATTGAAAACCTTATTTAAATGAAGCTTACAAGTAGATACGTTTCAATGAACAGGGCAATATTTTATGGGAATAAATAATTCTAACATTTGGCAAATCCATGGATTGCTATGCATTTGTGAAATTCAATTATTGAAAAATTAGAGTAAAGACTACAAGAAAAGCTATAGGTGAAAGGTGTTTCAAGCAATCTTATGTGATATATTAGCACCCAGAGAAGCCACAGGGAAAAGGCACTGGTGATAATATGGGCAGCATGAGATATTTGGAATAGAAATGATAAAATGTCATGTTTAATAAAAATACTTTTAGAATTAATAATATCCCATATGTCCAATCAAAGTGGCAGCTACAAAGCTAGTTTATTTTCCTACAGTTAAACATTTTTTCTATTATCATTATTCTCTTCCTGAAACTGAATATATAACAGATACATAATCAATCTTGCTGGATTAAAAAAATGGCAGAAATACTGAAGTTTTCATTATAATCACCCAAATAAAATTTAAATAGATAACTTCTCAAAAACATAAGCATAATCATCAAATTAGCTTCACTTAGAACACATATACAATTTTAAAAGTGAAAGGTACTATGGAATTATCCACTTCAACTATTTTACTCAAAATGAGTATAGATGTAACGAAAGTTCCTATGGGGTCCAGGCAGGTAAGATAGGGAACACAAGTCTGGTAAAACATGTGGCCCTTTAGGTGGATCATTCATGTTCCAATTTTTGATAGAAACGGGAGTTGAAAAAATATTACTCTTAACTGCATTCTAGAACAAACAGTATGGCAGATTATTTAATAAAGAGCACGGCAAGCTAGTGAGTAATGCACAATTTAGCCGATTGTGTCCATGGAAAAAAAGAAGCAATGTTTCCAGAAATCCCATTTTTCAATAAAGTACAGAGCAAATAAATATATCTGCAGACTGGATCATGCCCTTGGGCTTTCAATCTGCAACCTTTAGTGTAATCATTGAGAACATGAGCTTACTGTTAAACAGATCTGAGGTCAACTTCTGTCTTGGCCATTTATTAGTTTTATACCTTGGATAAAATATTAAATTTTAAGTGTCATTTCATCCACATCCACAACAAAAAGTGTTAATAATAATAGCAGACTCATGGGGTATTGCAAGTACTAAACAAGATGATGTAAAAACAGCACAGTAATTACTCAATAGGCAGTAGGTGTTATTTTATACATTATATTATATGTATAACATGTATATAATACTTAAGAGTATACATTATATTTTTAAATCTACTTTCAAATTCATAAAAAAGTTCTAATTTTCTTATCTACTTTACTAATTGGCATAGAGTAAATCTTTAAATCATGAATACATCCTTTCAGTGTTCATAACTCCTCTTGATATATAGAAATATTTATTATAGGTTAACACAGAAAGCAAAAGCTATCTCTTCTTTGGGGAGTTCACCACACAAAATTGTCTCATCTTGGGATCCATATTTTGTAAGGGACAAATCTATTTTTAAAAAGATTCCACATTAAAGCAATATGAATAAGGTAATTTGTTATAATATAAAGCATAGGGGATTCTCTTTTAATTACTTATTGGTAACAAATATAATAAAAACATTATTTTGATGATGGAAATTAGACAGTTTGGATATAATTTGAAAAATGAATTGGCTTCTTTAGACTCAGTCAATAGGTAGACGTTAGCCTTAGGAGTTTCAGTGATAATAGTGCCTTCTTAGAACTCCGCTGGTCCTAGTTTCCAAATCTCTCTATTGACACCTCACATCCTTCAGCTGATACTAATCAAATGCCACCTCTTCTGCCTTAGAAGCTTGTTTTCCTTAACAATTTATAAGCTTTTCCTTTCCACTAAGCGTTCTTACCTAAAATGTTTAGAAATCCTCCCACTAATATGTTGGAGCTACAGTCAGACAATAATAATTGTGATGGTAGCTATGGTTGATAGAGGCGTTATTATATGTTCAATGTTAGCTAAGACTTTTACATGCATAATCTCATTTATCTTTATCACACTCTATGAAGTAGATCCCATAACTACACCATGGTTCTTCACTTCTAAAATAATTCTGAATGAAGTTAAATAATTTGTCTAGTAACTCCCAGAGGCAGGAGTCCACTATTAGTCCCATTCTTAAGGCTGTACTACGCTGCTCCTCTAAATTCTTGGCTTAAAACACAACCAAAATGCATCAGACCTGTATTGAATTAAAAGCTATCATTCGATGTGTTGACATGACAGGAGTTGGATGGGCTAAGATGGGGAAATGATAAAGAGATATTACAAAATATCAAGCAGAAAATTTAAAAAAATTAATTTCTTAATACATGGATTTCATTAAAGTGAGTACAGTGGACTTGCATAAAAGAAAAGGTACCTCTACAGATGTACCTCATTTTCCAACAATAATAGCAATGAAAATCCAAATGTAAAAATCAGATGAATCATAATGATTATTTTTGCATCACCTAAGAATTTATCTCATCACAACAGGATTTGTGCAGAATTTCTCCCTCTATGAACTTAATGTTAGAAATCATTAGCTGTTTATAGAGGAGCTAAGGTGTGTATAGGGGGCCGGGAGGGGGTGCAGAGAAACACAAAGCTAAGTATTGCTAAAAGCTATTACATATTAAGATATTAAATATCAGAAACTGAGCCTATAAAATATAATTTTTTAAATATATTTTTATTGATTTCAGAGAGAGGAAGGGAGATGGAGAGAGAGAGATAGAAACATCAATGATGAGAGAGAAACATCATCAATCGGCTGCCTCCTGCACACCCCCTGCTGGGGATCGAGCCCAGAACCCCGGCATGCGCCCTGACTGGGAATCGAACCGTGATCTCTTGGATCCTAGGTCAGTGTTCAACCACTGAGCCACGCTGGCCAGGCTAAAAATATAATTTAAATATAACTTTTCAAGGACATCTATAATTGAGGAACAAAGCAGGCTTTACTCTTTATTTTCCAGCCACCAAGTTGTTAATGTAAAACTTACCTCAAGCAGGCCACCCTGGAGGCTTTTAAAGAGTTCCCCAAAAGGCACACACAATGTGTTTAAAAAAAAGTAAAATATTTCAACTGGTTTATATCTACAGAGAAATAATTTCCTATGACAAAATTCTGAGAAAGATTAAAATGCTTGAAGTCGAATAGATGGATGAACACAGACTTAATTAAGGTGAGTCATGCCTATGTGATATTCTTTTTTGGGAAAACCTATTTTCCCAAAAAAGTTGTATCTTTTAAGGAAGGCAAACTATTGAAAAACTTTGAGTAGCTAATCCACAGAGCATTAATATACAGCACATGAAATGCATTTTCCCTTGGGCAAGGAGAGGAGAATCTATTGCACATGTCATCTGTTTCTGTGAATACTGAAGATTACAATTATGTTTTGATGTTAATCCAACTACTGCAAATTTCTTGTTGCAAAGCACACTGTGAAAATGTGAGTGACAGTATAAATCTTTTTAAATTGAATCCAACACTATTGAAAAGAGCTGATGTTTTCAAATACTGTTACAAAGCTTCTGAACAAGAATAACTCTCTAAATGAAGCAGCTTCCTATAGTGACCTAGTTGATAAGAAAGACAAATAGCCAGGATAAAATCAAAGTCTGCATGTCTGCTACATTGTGTGCGTGTGTGGGTGCTTTGCATTTTTAGAAACAATTACCTGTAATGTCTTGATGTCCTCATAAGCAAACTGTGCAGAGGGAACGCCAAAGTGGTTGATGAAATAATCCGCATCACCCTGTATCTGAACAGAACTGATATTGGTTTCTGGGCACTGAGCTCTTCTGGAACAGTTGAGATTATTTTTCTGAAAAACATAATTTAAAATGTTAGCACAAACTAAGCTTTCCAGGGCATCCCCAAATCAATGCTACTCCAAGTGTGGTCCATAGATCAGCAGCATCTGTGTCACCCAGGAACTTAATCAAAGTACAAATCCTCCTGAGCGGGAACCTCGAGGGATGGAGCCCAGGAATCTGTGCTGTAACTCTCCTCTATGATTCTGGAGTCTGATGCTCACTGAAGTGCACCCAGTGTTGGCCGTAATAACTCCTGAATTTGGAATATGTTTAAAGAATGTGAGTCCCTTAAAAAGGCTTATTATTATTATTACTTTTTTTTTTTTTTAAGTTTTTCCATCAGTTTAAATTTAAAAGGATGGTTTGGTAAGATATAATTCCATTCTTCTAATATGTGTTTTTGGAAGACACAGAGGGGAGTTTCTCTATTTCTTCTTTAAAAGCAAATTCCCATATGTTTTTGAAGAATATATGACAACTCTGTGGGCCCATCAGGGACCACATAGCTAAGTGCAACCTCTAGGGGAATATTAGGAGACAGACTACTATTTCTTAAACTAGTAATACAAAACATGCAAAGCATGCAAAACAAATGACGGGAAGGTTACATTAAAAAAACAAAAAAACATTATAAAAAATAAAAAACAAGTAAATTAAAGGATTTTATAATTAATGCTGACTAAAAATATAACCTTTAATAAAATTTCCAAAACTATAGAATCTTTCTGATGTTGTTGTCTTAAGTATGAAACATGCAAGAATACCAATCCCCTCAGCATTAATCACAAGGGACCTGAGCAATAACATGAGACACCACGTCTAACAGGCAGAAAGGACAGGGTAGGGCAAAAGTAGGTTTACAGTTGTGAGCAGGTGAAACACAGAGTTTATTCTTGTACTAGCAGTCATTATTTATTGTATTATTTTCCATATAAACAACTGTAAACATACTTTTGTCCCACCCTGTATATAATTTTCCATTTAAGTAAAAATCAGTGGATTCTTCAACCCCCCTACCCATGGTTCTTTGGCATGATACAATTTCAAAAATACTTTTAAATATAACCTACAAAGATTTGATAACATGCAATACAATATTCATGAAGCAAATTATTCCCACTTTTTCAAGTGCAGTGCTAGATTTTTCAAATATATAATAATGTTTCAATAACAATCCAATTTTCTTTGAGGACATAATAGAAAGATCTTTGTAACAAAGTGAAAACCAATTAAAAGTGAGAACTTGAGTGTTACAAACAAGGCAAAGGTTTCAGCTAAATGTTATTTACAAATATCTTGGGTAATCAAGCATTTGGCAAATGGACAGTGAGAGTCCTACCATACAGTCTGATCAGTAGCAACTTCATGCTTTTTATGGGGACTCCCACCAACTTGCCTCTTTGGAAAGCCCAGTGTTCTGAAAACAGAGTGAATCCTTTTTCACTTCCTGATACACTCCTGGGGTGAAGACTCCTGGAGGTTTTATACCTGTAACTGTGTAGGTAAGGTGTTGAATATTCCCAAAGAAGAGCTACCTTTCAGTACTAGATAATGAAAAGCAAAGCGATTCCTTTGTATCATGCAAAAATACCAAGTAGCACGGAGAGATGCAGGTGTTAAAAACTGGCACCTGTGAAGGCATTTCTTTAGCCAGAATAGATATTTTTAAATTTAATTTGAGTGTCTTGGTCAGGCAAGTTATTGACCAACGTCCTACCACTAGTATCACATTCAGTCAGCTTTACTCATTCGAATGGTGGCCAGAGGCATTTGAACTGTGAAACCTAAGCAGCTGTACTCCTTTCTGTTATTAATGATGATTTCATAGAACCTAGTCTTTTCTTTCCTCAGATGCCTAGCCAATGAAATTAAAAATCATTTAAGTGATCTACTTTGCCTTTACTGCAGCAATAGCAATATCTTTTTGGGACATTATATGTATTCTACTCAACCTCAATAAAAATACAGATTTGGCCTTAATTTCATCTTGCATACATTAATCATGCAATCCTTGAGGTCCATTCCTGTTTACATAGTTTGCATGTGTTTGTATTTTCTAGGTACATAGGAAATTATTAACAAAATATACCAAATATGAGCCACCTCACTTGCTACAAAGGAGACACTTCCATAAGGACTTACCACTTAGAAAAAGACATTATATTGGATCATAATGCAACCTTGGGAGATGGTAAAAGAAGTATTATTATTCCATTTTACAGATTAAAAGCTTTGCTAGCCTCTGGCTACATGACCACAGCACATGGAACGGCAGGCAGGGGTTTCTAATTTAGCTGTTACATTGTTGTCCCCCACACTCCAACCACCTTCACCCTGGGTCTAGGGATCCCCTCACCCCCTACACATAACTAAGGAAACGAGGAAGGAGTTCCTCAGTTTGTACAGGAAGCTGGTAGGCTGCTGAATATTCAACTAAGTTAAAATTACCTTTCAATTTAAGACAAGCGGTGACTTACAAACACCGTACCAGATAAAAAGACTCCATAGGTCCCTTTGCCAGTTTGGTACTTCTTGAATAGGTTTGCTGTTGGTCATTCTAACAGCTAAACCTATTTCTTCGTGAAGTGTAAACTATATATAGAATGACAACCCCAGAGCCCTTTCAAAAACTGGACTCTGATTATATCGAAATGAAACTGTGAGCATATTGAAAAGGTAAAGCAGAACCATCCAAACTGACCTTGGGTCAACACACTGGATGAAAGCACACTGCCCGTGGGTACAATTCCTATACCACAGGATCAAGTTATAGATTTTATGTCTCAATGAAGGATAACAACTCCGGCTTCACAATGCTGTTCCATGCTGAGGAATTGGCTGACATAACATAACTTCAGCTATTATTTCACTGGCTTTTTTGAGGTTTGTCTTAAATAGCTTCCCCTAGCCTCACAGGCAATGCTATTTTAAATAATACAATGTCAGCGTTTCAGCACTGTATTCCAGCTGCCAGGCATTAAAAAAATTAACTGAAAACCAAACTGGTTTTCAATTCACCATTAACTCTCTCAGGCAGCAAATATTTTTAATGAAATATTTAAACAAAATCTTCTGTAGATGAAACAGTTTAGTAACTTCCCTTAAAAAAAATTCAGACATTTCAAAAAAAGTAAACCCAGAAGCAAGGAAACATTTGGAGTTACTTTACATATATTAAACATCCTTCGGTAGATAGCAGGCAGAAGTCTGCTGTCCTCTCGATGACCAGGGTTACAGGGCAGTTGTAAATCAGGTGGGGGCTTTCAGAATTTTTAGAGGTAATTCATTTAATTTTAGGAACGCACAGGGAGAAAAAGCCAGGAAATGCAAAGTTGGCAAGCAGGAGGGCATAAGGATGTGGCTGGCATTCGATCACACATTACCATTTCAAGCAAGTTAAGTGCTGAGAGGGAGAAATCAGGCAGAGGAAATAACACCATCAGCAGTACCATGCCTACGTCTGACAGATGACAGCATCGTCACATAGCCTGGAAGCCCTGGGCCAAAATGACTGCTAGACGAGGGGCAGCATTGCTGGACCGAGTTCACCGGAGCCTTGAAGGCCACCACCGTACCTCAGGAGCACTGTGCACAGAGACAAGGCACCCCAGGACTAGCACCCAGTGACAAGCCCCGTATGTTAGGAATTTTTATACCAGACCTAGGGCCAGTATTTTGGTCAGACTGTGCCAGGAAATCTTACACTTATCTCACTTGTTTTAACTTAATTCTCTTTTGTCTTTTGAGGGCAGGTAATATGTTTTATCCATCTTTCCACTGGCCCTGTATTGATCGCACAGTAAAATGGGTGCTATAAAAGTTTGTAAAAATGAAGTCAACCCAACCTTATGAACTTTTTTCCAGTAAGAGGAAATGGTGAGGGGGAGGGGAAGAAATGAGCTACACAAACACCATCTAGCTTAGTCTAGGTTTACAACTGAAAATTAGTGGATCTTGAGTGCCAAAGATGCCTCAGGGTGGCTTCAGGTAATCCCATAAGTCTTAACTCTTCTGGAAAGCATTTTCCTCCTTAATTTTTTGCTGAGCAACATCTGTTTTCATGTACACTATGTATCCCATTAGGCGTATGTAGGAAGTCCTAAGTATGTCCTGACATCACAAAGTACATCGTGATAAGTAGGTGCTTGATATAAATATTACAATCAAAGCGTGACCCACAAATACACTGTAAATGAGACAGATGATTTTGCATTCTCCCTACAGAAGCACTGATGTCTCTTTTCAGCAGTATAAATTTGGGGCAATTACTTAACTTCCTGAAGTCTTGACTTTTTCAATGTAAAAAGGTAAATATGTGTACAATATGAGGAGATTGAAAGGAGTAAATTAAATAATGAATGCAAAGCACTCAGCACAAGTCCATCATAAGTGCTTTCTACATAAGTGTTGTTATGAATTGTCATTACTACTAAAGTAACCAGCACACACACACACACACACACACACACACACACACACACACACACACACACACACACACACACACCCTTCCTACATTTCTGGCAATGTTTTTCTACCAAGTCTAGTTAAATGTGTGTCAAGAAGGAAGCAGGAGTTGAAACCTTATCACTACCTCCCCTTAGGCTGTACTATGTTGATCACATTAATAAAAGCCAAGGTGACTGGCTAACCTGAGCCTGTGTTCTGAGCTCTGGAGTTTACTGCCCTCTGCCTTGGTTGCATCAAGGAAACTATCCTTAAAGATGACTGCTCAGAAGTTCAATTAAGAAAAAAAAAGAGAGGATTTTTTTTTAAGTCAATTCAGTTCAGATCTCAAACATTCAAGAAAATGTCCATTAAGCATCTGGAGCTCAGGAACCATAAACCTAGCATGACAGTAATAATAGGGAAAGGAGGTGCTCCTCTCTCAAGTAATAAGAATGAAGAGTTTTAAACTCTCAGGGTTATTTGCAATATGAATGCCATTAAGTAATCACAGAAGTTAATAATATATATTTTATCATATTTTATAAATATTGCACAACCA